AAATGTATTCACCGCCTCAGTATATTGGTATATTGATACTTATTGCCCATTTATTGTTTTTTAATGAGTGACCAGCAAACTTGATTGATGCTAAATACACAGCAGTAATGTGTGAATGTGTTATTCGCTCGAACCTCGGCTAATTTAAAAATGTAAATAATTACCTCCGAGCTGTTTGTACTTGAATGGAAATTAAAGAGAGATTTATCTTCATTTTGTTTCATTTAATATAATTGACTTATTTTTGCACTGGCGTTTTTACTTTGTGAACAACATCAATTACGTTCGTTAATATTTTACCAGTCACATAAAAAGGTCCTCGTGTAATAACTTTATTATTTATCCACATTCTCATGTTCGTTTAAATTGCATTGGTGTTTGTCATAATTTCAATGTTCGTTTATCTGATTTGTTATTCAACTTGTGTTTCTTTTATTTCCAGACTGACAATGGAATACTCAAGAGTTATGCTGGCTGTCGTGGTGCTGTGTGCACTGGTGAGCCACAGTAGCGGCGCGCCAGCGAGGAGGTCGCGGGCGGCCGCCCTGCAGACTGAAGAACCCACCACAGTCCGCGAGAACAAACTGCAGGACGACTTCAAGGAGACAACCACCACCACGGAAGCACCAATTACGAGCAGGAGGAACAAAGCTCTCAACCTTTTCGGTTTCTATCCCTCCTTCCTCTCATCGGGCATAGACTTCACCGAGGACGATGATGACATTAACTTCACCGTGAACGACGAAAACTTCGAAGATGAAGACCTCTCGCGGACCATCCCTAGCAGAAGACGCCAACAAAACAAGAAGAAAAACGGCAACGGACAATATCCGAACGACAACATTAACTCCTTACAATATGAAAACTCCCCAATCTTCTACATTAGGTTGCCTCCCACTCCATACATGTTTGTTCCTGGCTTAGGTTACGTATCTCAGCCCCCTAGTCTAGGACCACCAATGGCTCCCATGCTCCCTCAAGTGCCTCCTCAAGTAGCCGACCCTTTCATCAATCTTCCCATCGACTTCGTGTCTAATGGGAAACCAACCGGAGTGTATCAATGGAGCGGTGCTCCTGCCTTCCCTCAAATGCCACAAGTGGATCCCTTCGGCTATGGAGGCCAGCCTATAATGCCCGCCAGGCCTACGTACAATGTACCATCGTACTCACCTCCTAAGCCGAAGCCGGCTCCCTCGAACTCGAAAATAACGAACCTCAAAGGCCAGTACGTCTTCAATGGAAAGCCAGGAGACAACGTGTATGTTCTTAGAGACACCTACAACTCCATATACTCGGACGCCCTGCAAAACTTTTACCCTTAAAGCCTGAGATACGTAGGATAGGATTGTGTCTGGCTCGTATCGAGCTGCTGTAATTAACGAATTTCAAGGGACCAACTTGCGGATGAAAATAAATATAAAAGGAAAGTTTACAAGCAAGTCAGTGATCAGTAATTATGAGGAGGAAAGTTAATTATCCTCCCTCGAACATAACGATGTTAAATGAAATCTTAAAAACAATTACATGCGTAAGAAACGTGAGGGGCCAATAACTACAAGCTGCCAATTGTTGCAATTACTTGCCAAGTTAAACTCGAGTGATGGAGGCTCGATGAATTATGAGTGAGATCTGCTACTTAATGAATTTAATGTTTAAACGAATTTAACATTTCTTATAGGTTGCTTTACTGTAATGAGAATACTCCATTAGTGATTTGTAAAATTAATTTAATTGCATTATTAACAAATTATTAATTTTAGAGACTGTGTGTCTCACATTTTTCCAGATTCAAGTTTAAAAATAAAAAATTGTAATTATTTGACCAAAAGCAAGGTCGAGTCTACATACATGTGTTAAGTAAACTTCCTTGCATTGATGATACTTATACTTACATAGATAGTTATTAATTAAAAACATATTAATACCTATTTATTTTATTATGACTGGTGATGTATTTCATAGTCTTAATATTTAAATAAGTATGAATTGAAGTGTGTAAGTAGGTAGTTATCTAGGTATGTAGAATTTATGTTTACTTACAAAATGCTTTTTTTGCTATTAAATTATAAATTAACTATAAGAAAACCTAGAGATTTTGATAAGGCATACGGTCGATTACCACGTAGATATGTAGAAGGTTCACAAATCACGAAATTAGGTAGGACCTAAGTACCTACCAATAAAAATATGTTTTTATATAACGACAATTTTTAGAAGTTACTTTCTAATATAACATCATCACATCATCACACAATTTAGACAAATTAATATCGACCGTCTGCTTGAGAGTATAAAATCTTAGGTTGTGATTATTATTTTGAGCAATAACATGTTTGAGTCAGCGCTAGATGTAACTTAAATAATCATTAATGTAAAATAATTTATTGATCTTATATTTATTCTTTAAATTATTTACTTAGATTTAAGATTTCTAATTAGGTACAAATAATAAAAAATAAATAAACCGTCCATAATGATAAGTATGCAGAATGACAATTAATGTTAACTAACTTCGTAAACGCGCCGAGATATTTTATAGAACTATTGTGAACATTTTTATAAATAGTGAATAGGTAAGCACTTACTTTTTGGTGTTACAAATGATCTTCAGTTAAATTGTATTGTTGATTGAAGATTGAAATTATCACCATGTAATTAATTATATTTTATTGCTAGTGTTGTATTTGATCTACATTACCTTGAATGGTAATTTATAAATACAAAAACTAGTCAGTAAAATTTGTTTCCCTCTACGTGTACAAGTAGTAAAAATTGTCAAATTTCTTCATGAATAAAGAAGCAAGAAACAATCTTGGGAGATTACATTACATCTGGAAAATACTGTGTTGCCCTGCATGTGTACGTGTGTGCACGTTCATAATAATTATTTACATTGCAATAAGAATTACCTATAGAGATAATCTTGTATTTCCCAATCTGTATTTATAGAAATAAAGTAAATTACGAAGTATTTTAAAATACAAAACGTCACAATTTTAGTCTTAAGATAGGTATGAATAAATTCGTCCCGTCCAGTGGATTTAAATAATCGATATTGTACCTAAATTGTAGGTTCTACTCAGTACGTAGATGTTCTAGACGATAATAAAATGATACATCCGCATTATAGACTTATAAAAAGACAATTAAAAACATTTTTATAATAACTGCGAGTGTTTATTTTCCTTCCTATCCTTATACAAAATGCTTTATGGCTAGTCCATAACTTAGAAGGACATAAAAAATGATGTCTTCAATTTTTGAAACAGTAGGCTGACGTGCCACTTGTCACGAACTGGCGACAAGTAACCAAGTAAAGTAGACAAGTAAAGTATAAGCTTTAAGGATTATAACAGAGTCTATTATCGGGAAAATTTATTTCAAACAAGAGTAAAGCCTACTATAGTTTGTGGGTAGGCACGTGGGTTACCCGACCCTGATATTGAACTAGGTAATCATCTGGCTAATTAGGTACCTATCGCACATTAAGAAATAATAATTATTTTAGTAAAACCGTAGGTGAACAATATAGTTTTGTTGTTAAGCTAATTGTTTTATTGATAGTAGTTACAAAAATAAACAATGAAATGACATTATCAACGGCTAGCACGTAAAAACAAAACAGTTGGTACTTAAATAAATAGTCTTAAAAAGTTATTTAACGCATACAATTATTCCTGTGCTATTAGCTCTATTGTTTATGTTTCTTAGGCTCAATAAATGCGTGGTCCACGCTAGTCTAAAGCAGGTAATTAAAAGTGTTGGATGGCAGATTTATTCAGTTCCTACACTCATAAATATGTTTTCCAGCTACCTATTTCACATGGTTTGGATTTCAAACTAATTACCTGTTTATTGCCTCATGCATAGCATAGCAAAACTAATGTGGTTACGTTACAGTACACGTAATTATAAGAACATTACCTATTTGCCTTCTTAGTTACTGAGTACCTTTGTAATTATTAATTGTGAAAGATGATATTATGATAAAATTTGAATATTATGGTACCTACCATAGGCTCTTAATCATGAGCAGCATTCCGCGCAGCACGACGACGCGGTGACTAGTAGCAAATAATGTGGTCGTTAGTTTATAAAAACCTCATTAGATATTTTTTGGTTATTTGAAAATTCTGAGAAGTGTGAAAATATGGCCGTTGTATAGCAATAGGCTCGTTTGAAGTACCCACTTACTTAAATGAGTAGGTATTAAAAGGTGTGAATACATAATACGAATAAGATGGGTTGCAGGTTTCTAAAATTGTGTCTATTTGTAAAATAATACATCTCTGAAAGTAAAATAACTAAATTAAATTAACTTCATAATCCAGAATCTTAATCTAATACATTATAACGTAACAATAACTGGTGTAATAAAAATATACAAATTAAATATGTACAAATGTAATGTGGCCAGTGACAAGAGTATAAAACGGGGATTAATTAAAATTCATTGCTATCTTTGTAAACGCTTACTACGTTTAGTTATTGCAATTTCACACTTTGACGTCAGTCCCTGACAGGTAACAGTACAATAATAAAACAATATGTAACATACATGATACAAATTGTACTTATACTATATTATAATTAGGTGAAAAAATACTATCACCCGTTGCTTTAGCTTTTCATTGAGAAACTAAGTGATGTATAATAAGAAATAAAAAGAAAGGATGAGCTAATGGATTAACTAAACGAACTTACCACTGTCATCGAAAACAACCAGAGTTCTGTCAAAATTACGTTGGTCAAGTAAATCGTGCGAGTAATGAATTACAAAAATAACATAATTCATCCGTAAATTTCACATAGTTCAACAAAACACAAACTGTAGTTAAGACGTGTAATAATATGAAGCATTAAAGTGATAGTTAGTTTAAATAAATAACAAAAAGAACATGGTGCAAGTGATCTTGTGTGACGACGTGCCTCAATGAATTAAAAAAAATGAAAAAGAGTGTAGTTTTCGTTAATCAAGTGTAGAAGAAATAAGTGTCATCATGTTTCGCAGCAGAAGTTGGTTCGGGGCTTCTTGGGGGCGTCCTAAAAACCCCCATTCTTTGGAGAGATTGAAATATTTACATAATATTTTGTGTAAAAACACAACAGTGTCTGAAAGTAATCGTGGAACCTTGGTGGAGTCGTTAAGGTGTATAGCTGAGATATTGATATGGGGAGATCAGAATGACAGTTCTGTTTTCGAGTAAGTAATGTTTCTGTGATCAGTATTTCATTATTTGTAAACAAAGTTGGCACAGTGAGAAATGTTCAAGGTAATCTGGTCTTTGCTGAATAATTTAAAAGAAATACTTGTTTGTTGTATTTATAAGACTTAGAAGGCTTCTTTATTATCTTTACTAAGAGTACCTAATAGTAATTACCAAATATATGTACTTCAGATAATATTGGCACACTATTTTATAAAACATAAAATCTTAGTCCGATCTTTGACTAAGTTGAGTCATCTAAGTGGTGTATCCTTTCTAACAAGTTGAATAAGCTGTACACAAACAATGTATCATCTTCATGTTTTCCTAATTTGATTAAATAGTAAAAGTGCTATGCTAATTGTGCTAAAAATATTTTTTAATTATTACAGAATCAGTAATGTTTATTATTTTTTTAATGATTTAATAACTTGAATTTTCTTACATACTAATACTAGGTTCAAGAGCTTCAATTAGACAAAAAAGTGAAAATTTGTCTACACTTCATTGCCTTGACATAATACATGTTACTGTGTTCCAATAAGTGAAAACAATCCAATGAACACTATTTATTTTCCATGATATTCTGTTCAACAAATGTGTATGTTGTTATTTTATCAAAGGTCATCAAAATTATACATGATTGATATAATACTTTTATTATCTCTTTTATAAACATTCATAAACTTGCAGTTTCTTCTTGGAGAAGAATATGCTGTCATATTTCTTGAAGATCATGCGACAGAAGTGTGGAGGCTCATCCTATGTATGTGTGCAACTGTTGCAAACACTAAACATACTTTTTGAGAATATAAGGAATGAAACATCATTGTGTAAGTAATGTAAAATAAATGCATTCATTTTTCGTAAACTGTGTCTGCCTTATTGGCCGATTGTTGCAAGTGCCACTGCCGGGCAAGGGGTCTCGGGTCGGCAAAAGTATTACTGGGTTTTTTAAAGTTCACCTCCCATAAAAGGTGTGATGTTATGTTATTTTTTACTAAAAATAAAACAAGTAATTGCTTGCTAGCATCGTTAAATAAAATATTTCTTTCAAAACGCAATCAGTTAATTACTTAATTACAAATGGCTTTCCATGATGACAAGTGTTGTACAGTCTGCACAATAAGTTGGAATACAAAATAGAAATTGATTTAGTTTAGAGACAGTCACCATTATTTGGCCCCTAAGCTGACCAAAGGTCACAAAAGGTGTAATATAATTTAGTGTAACAATAGCTACGGTTTTTGAATTGAGTCTCTGAGAGATCTTCAGAGACTCACTATCAGCAATAATATAAGACACTATTTTTGTCTCTTTTTGTATATAGCAATAGGAATATTTAATAAACATACTAATATATTTTTATTAAATGTTTACATTTGTTACAGATTATTTGCTAAGTAACAACCATGTCAACTCAATAATAGTGCACAAATTTGATTTCTCCGATGAGGAGGTGATGGCGTACTATATATCTTTTCTGAAGACTCTCAGCTTGAAACTGAACAACCACACCATACATTTTTTCTACAATGAGGTAAGATCTTTTTACATAGAAAAGTAATCTTTATTGCCATGTTGCTGGTGCTTGCTCAATTGGTGTGACTTCACATAATGCAATTTGTATGTTTGTTTATTTACTATCATAAAAACTTGTGGAATGAACTAGTTACTTATACGAATAGCGTATATTACCTGTCTTTCCTCTATCTTATGCTTATGAGGAAGACTTCTTCTTCGAAACTCAACTAACCATGCAGTCAGAGAATCTGAGTAACCTAAATATGTTTGTTAAATTTCAATAAAAAATACATTATGTTAACCATATTATTGGAATTATGTAATACTACCAATACCAAATTTAAATAAGTTATTAGAAATATTAATTTAGAAAAAGTTACAAAAACCAATATGTATATATTATGTGGCAACTAAACAAAATAAAACAAATAGGTCAATATCTACCTAATTGCATTAAGTACATTAGGTACCTATTTTATTCAAATATGTAATTACCTTATCATCAGTATTTTATGATTTATCGTTTTAGGTCAAATGAGTACTTGATCTTTATCTTGTCCTTGAATTTTCCTGTAGTGAATATAGTGAATTACAAAATCATCAGTAACTAATTAAGGCCCGGAGGTTTAAGACGCCTGCTTTGTGAGGTAATCTGGGTATATTTTTGCAACATACATACAAATTGCAAGTGTGGTGATTAATGCTTACGCCTTCTCTGTGCGAGAAGAGGCGTTTGGTCAGCAGTGGCCATTTATAGGCGTTTGATGATGATGAACTTTATGCATATTAATATAATATTCAATAGGTATTTGGAAAATATTTATTTTTACTATAATGAAACCCGGAAAAAGGTTGATGTCTTTTTAACTAACACTTGTATCAATTTCCCTTATCAATGGGCAATGTTCTGTGATAACGCAGTAAATGGTTACACAGCTGTGACATAATTGTCTAGTTATCCGGAAATGCAAATGTCAACTGTAATAGGTTGCTGAATATGACGCAACAATTGATAATTTATTTAGCCATTGATAGGTTTAACTAACTTCTCTTAAACCGATACATTTTATTTTACATTTTATATCAAAAGCCTTTTCCTATATTGCTCTCTTCTTATGTCTTTAAAATTTGAAGTACACTTAGTGACACAAATCGCATGTGTTTGAAATTCGAGACAGTATGAATCGACAGGTCGAATCGGTCAGATATATTAATATACAAATCTAGTATATTTGAACAATCGCAATGCAGAAGTGAATATCGACATGTCGTCGATTGTTTCACAAAGAGACAGACAGTTGTTCAAGGTTAAGTTTTCACGTGTTCCAATCGAGTCACGAACTATAGCGTGTATTGTTTGAAGGCATCACCGCAAAATATCAGTACCACATTGGCACGAAATGTCTAGTACAAAATTTGTAATATTATTATAACAGTGAACTCAGCACTTTACTATTTTGTCTAGTGATCGCATACATTTTTGGGTACCATGTAATCTTGACTTCGGATCAGTGGCTCACTGTTCGACCTACACTCCATAAACCTAACAAACCTACTACCTATAAAATAGTTCACTACGATTACAGAATTTAAGTAATCTCTCGATATTTATTCATTTCAAAAAAGAAAGTTATTCACTGAAATGGAGGGCAATTTAGACTTGATGTTTAAAATATGGGTGGCATCAGTAGGTACGCATTTTTATAGAACGAAACAAATATCTGCAATACAATTGGTGACTAATTGGTATATGTAACAAACTCATTAAAATTTCTGTGAAAATATTTATTCTATGACGATTTCGAAGGATTTCTAGATCGATATTGCTATGAAAGTTTAATTAATCGAAACTCCTATGTTTTACAACATTTCACAATCAACTAAAATTACTTTACATTTCAAGCATAAAATTGTATCCTCTGGAGCGTTCCCTACGTAAGTATGTCCTAAGTGTTACATTTGAAATTAATTAGGAATTAATATTCACAGCACACAAAGGATTTCCCGCTGTATACAGAGGCGATCAAGTTCTTCAACCATTCCGAGTCAATGGTGCGCATCGCCGTGCGCACGCTGACGCTCAACGTGTACCGGGTGCAGGATGCCAGCATGCTCCGGTTTATTAGAGATAGGTATGTATTGTAATTTATTAATCTTGTGACTCCTGCTATATTATGAGAAACAATTCGCACAATAGCTACCTATACGAGAATACATTGTTTCTCGCTTGGATCTGCGTTCCGGCAAAACAAAGGTTTAAGATCACAATAAAATCCTCAGTGTTTTAAAATCTTGTATTGAAGGAAATTAATTTTAGGGATGTTCTTTAAAACCTCTTTTACAACCATTTTGAAGTCTTCGATCCTTAATCTGAAAAGGTTAAATCTATAGTATTAACGTAATAGTGAAGGGTTACCCCGTAAGTTCAAAATATAAATAAAATCATCTATCTCTTGTAAGAATCCTTATGCTTCCAATGGCAATTTAGTATATATTATATTCTACTAATTCTTTCGCACATTAATCGAATACGTAAACAGTTTTGCATTTTGATGCAAATTGATTTCCAAAGTAACTAGGTTTGGTTAGATATTTGACTTTCCACAGTTGTTAGTACATATATTTCCCATGAATGCGTGTCTAACCTCTATTGACATTGAACTTGAAACATTTACATCCTATAATTTATGATGTGGTCTTGGTTTCGTGAAGTCGCGTCGACGGCGACAGCGCGCTTTGTATGAACACAGACTGGTTTCAGATTTCAACCAAGTCTATTTACTTCGTAGCTCCCAAAATCAGACTTGTAGGTACATTACTGAGCTAAGTTTATTCTAGCTTAATGTGAAGTGTTCAGTGTCCAGTGACGGTGTTATATACCTAATCCAAAATGAGGATCAAAGATATGGACAATAAGATTTTGCAGTCTTCAACGTATGTTTTGTATTCGATTTGTATCTACATTTAATACAGTAGTAGGAGTAAATGCTGTTTCAGCTACCGTAAAGACATTATTTTTTCGGTGGGCTTAAGATACTTCAGATATACCCTTTATTTATTCTTTATTATGAATACGTTAGGGAATAAAACGTAGTAGTATTTAGAAGGCATGCATATTCATCGGGTATCTCGGTCGTTTCATTAGTGGTCGTCACTATGCTAACACAATTGTGTGTCCCGCAGGACGGCGGCCCCGTACTTCAGTAATCTAGTTTGGTTTATCGGCAAACACATACTGGAACTGGACGCGTGTGTCAGAAACGACGCTGAGTAAGTCCATCTATTATATTATTTGTGATTTTGTTTTGGTCTGTTTTGTTATGTTCGGTTTATTTATTTACTTATTTTTTTCTGTTCAATAGATTTGTATTTAGATGTAGATGTTGCATATTAATCCTGATCAACCGGTTACATACTAAATGTACCAAATTCAAAATCCTTTTTTTTAACAATTCGAACCCAGACTTTATTTATGACTCAAAATTTAGAAATTCTTTTTCCAGCCACCAATCACAGCAGAAACTAGATGATCTTGTAGCCGAACATCTCGACCACCTCCATTATATTAATGACATACTATGTCTCAACATTCCCGACCTCAACGATGTACTGACGGAGCATCTGCTGCACAAACTGCTAGTACCTCTATACATTTACTCACTCACGTCCGAAAGTGTAAGACGACTACAGACATCTTCACCGTATAACCGAGACCGCATACAAAGCATAGAATCTATTACAAGGAACTTAGAAGCAATACTTAAAGGGAAGAACGCGGAGTCTCCATCACGAATGACATTCCCCAGACAAAGAATGGAATCAGAAGACGAGAGCAAGCCGTCGGTGTCGTGCGTCGTGTCCCTGTTTCTGTTATCGCAAGTGTTCCTTATTATAACGCATGGCCCCATTGTCCACGCGCTGGCCTGGATCATACTGCAATCAGACTTATCTGTGTTCGAGGACGGCGCGACCAAGATACTAGAAATGTACATTAGCAATGCAAAGTCCAATGTCAAACTAGAGTTCTCTAAACCACAATTAAGTTTAGAGAAGGCATTAGAGAATACGTCAATTGAAAGGGACTACACTACCCCAGAATACGGTGGTCCCAAAGCATTCGGATATGATACGGATCAATCGAGTTGCGATCTCGACCCCGAATTAGTTTCAACTTCTCTTCCGTCCACGTCACATATAAGCGAATCATCGAGTATTGGTCACGACTCCACTGAGGATTTGGTGACACAAATACAGTCGACGAAAACTAATAGCTCAGGGACTCTCAAGGAGAACATGCCCGACTCGCCTTTGCCAGATTCTGGTATCGAATCGAGTTCGTCGAAAACGAACGAATACAACAATATTACCGATGAAGAGAAACAGAAATTGCTTGGCGTAGGTCCGAGCACGTCTGCTGAGAGGACTGTGACACTCGACAGTATAATAGAGAGAGAAAGTAAAGAGATCGAGAAGAGGCCATTCTTGAAGACTATTTTGGATTCTTTGGATTGCAGCGAGAATGATTACAAGGCGCTGTTTGCTCTGTGCTTGCTGTTCGCATTGATCAACAATAAAGGTGAGTACCTATATATATCACATGTGGCCTGGATGTAATGTAGATAATATTGTCATGTGGTCATAATGTTTATGATGTCATTCACCTTACCTTGGTTGGGGAGTAACCTAAACATTATTTTGATATTTAGGCTACTGATTGTTTTTTCGGACCTTGTCTTGCACAACTTCCAAACAATGTAACCTTGACAAATTGAGACCTCTCTCGAAGGTTACTGCAAAGTGCAATGCTCGGCTATAAAAATCTTTTTTATTATTTTTAGCCGTATTTAGATATCAGGCTTGCATGTCCTTTATGTAAAGGTCCTTATAAAATATTAAAGCATTATTCTTTTTACTAATTTTGTGTTCTATTCTGTCCTTTGCTTTCTTTGGATTAAATAGTGGGTAAGTTAGTTACACTCATGTCTGTTTCTCACGTTCAGGAATGCCACAAAGTATTGTGAGCCGCTGTGACATGTGAATTGCTTGACACATTACATTTCATCATAGTATTATCTGTAGTTATTATTGAAATGGAATGGTATGGAATGATGTACGGATATGTTAATGTAAATCATATTGTAACATTTCAAAACAGATACACATCGATAAGTCATACTTGTAAATTATATTACTAGTGTAGAATAATGAGTAAAAATCAGTAACACAAACAATATTTTTTCATTTCAGGAGTAAACACAGAACTACTAGACACACTGCTATGTCCCGAGGAGGAGATCACAAATGCTCAGGAGTCGAGTGGGGCTCAGAGTTCAACGCCCTCTGGTGACACAATGTCGCCGCCTCCGAAACGTCCTCTGCAAAGTTTTAACGCATTGCTGATATCTAAACTCATGGCCATCGCCAACTTGAGCTGTAAACCTGGTAAGTTTCTTATAGTATAACACTGCCTTTACTGACCTAATTGCCCTTTACATAGATGTACGGATATGCAAAGACTGACTATACTTGTGCAATAAATCTTACATTATCAAACATTACGTGATATGCATGGATAAGTAATTGTAGATGTCAGAAGATATATGAACTTTTTTGTGTAATGAATGTTTACAATTGTACCATTTCCTTCCAGCATCGAAAGTCCGCCTAGTGACCCTGGAGCTGAGCGTGACGTTGATGCGCGTGGCGATGTGCGGCGCGGGCGGCGGGTGCAGCGCGCGCCACGCGCCGGCCGCCGACGCACTGCGCGCGCGCGCCGCCGCACTCGCCAGGAACTTCTACAAGTGCGACGACATATTCCTCGACATGTTCGAAGACGAGTGAGTCTTATCATGCTTTTATAGAATTCACTAGCTTTCCTCCTACGGCTCCGTACGCGTACATCTCCCTTTGGAACCACAATAATATTTAAAAAAAACCGCATCAAAATCACTTACGTAGTTTTAAAGACCTAAGAATAAGGAAGTGGACAACGGACTTTGTTTTATACTGAGTTCACAGAAAAAAGAACTCTTAAATAGTCTATAACTTCTAAAAAGTATCTGTCACCTAGTTTACGCAAGCGAATATAGATCTTACCGTTGTACAAAACATACGAATGACATTCCAACGAAATTTATGGTTCATTCCACATGAGTTATTACTACTAAAGTATCGATGTGATATGTGATACAAAATAAACTCGTTCATAATATCAGATAATGTAATAATTTATATCGTATATGAATATTATCAATTACAGTCATGAAAGCGTAATCCTAGAGTGTACAATATCTTTTGACCATCTAAGCATGACTAAATACTTATAAAGTAATACTAAACATATTACAATAACTCAGGGATTACTAAAAATTACGCATATCGGAAAAACTTAACCAAATCCAAAGCATTTATTTCAATTAAACCATAATTTGGTACTTTTGAAATGTCAAAATATATGTCAGTCTGTCCGCCAGTGAAGCTAGGTGCTCGTTCAAAAATGTAGATTCAAATGGAGAAGAACGAGCTAGAAACTCCATTCGCTACTCTTTTTACCGAGTTCATAAGTAATTAACTGATTGTTTAGGCGTTTCGATGGGTCCAGGGTATAATACATACTTTAGTTCTATTGCAAAAATAACTTAGCAGTCGATAGTAAAATTCTGAAGCCTCTCAAACCGTATTTTTTGTACTATTAGTTCTCTGAACATACACATTTTACTAAAGTATTTGTAATGTTACTAAATAGATTTACGCCAATATAGACTTCGATATCACAATTATTATCTTCTTTTAATCTACTAAGGCATTAGTAAAACATTAGTAATGTCCGTTTTCATAACAGGAAAATGTTTAAAAGATAACAAGGTCTCATGTCTTATCCTTTAGGCATTTTTTTTCTAGTAATGAAATTCGGATGAATAGAAGCTAGAAAAATAAGATCCTAGAAATGGTACTCAGTAATAAACAAAATAGAATATACCTTTTACTGTTTTCGTAGGTACTTAAAAACTAATATCTACTAGTTTCCAAGTCATAATAGCGAAAATGTTCTCTTATAAACTTTGTTACGTTGACGGTAAAGTTTATTTTTCTTCGCAGGTATTGTGAGACCAGCAAGAGACCTTTGAACGTGGAGTGGTTATGTATGGATGCTGCGATATTACTGCCACCGACTAGAACACCGATGTCTGGCATCGCGTTTGCTAAGAGATTGCCTAGTGGGGAGGTAAATAATATACTTTTCAATACGAAAATATACGCGTTCATCCGAGCAATAGTTTGAACTGAAAAATTGCTATTGTAATTGACTAAACATGACCTCTGTAGTTATAGGTATGCTGTCTTTATTAATCGGTCAATGAAAGTCTGAGCACTGCTATAAAATATATTGTTCACACACACTAGGTCATACTGGCATACTATTAGATTATAATAATTTATCGTAATTGACACGCGGATAACTAAGGAATGTGTTAACTCTTACATAATATAATTTCATCGATTGGACAGTTGCTTGGGTTAAAGGAATAATGTAAGTAGACACCTCACACATACAATCGTATACGTATTATATAAACAATTGCATACTAGTGTGTCCCTACAACCTCTAACTATCTACATTTATTTTCATTTTTCTGACTGGTCTTGTACTAAAATGTCATAATATTGGCAATGGAATTATATTAATGTTTTTAAGGCTTTGATTGCCAATAGAAAACCGGTGTTAGCGAAGGATATCCCTCCGCTAACACCGGTTTTCTATTCGGTGTATGGCGTTTAATGTGTATTTGAGATATCATTTGATAATATGTAATTACCTACAAGTTTTAATTCATACCTATTTATCATGTAGATGGAGAGAGCACGGCGAGCGATACGGACCTTCTTTTTGATTCGGGACTTGTATTTGAAGCTGACTGGGAAACCTGAAACACAGCTGCCTCTAACTAATCCGGCGCCGTTTGTACAAGTTGGGGACGTTTTGGACCTTAGTGAGTGACACAATACTTATATGATTTTACTAATTTATTACTCCTATTAATTATATTTAAAGCAACCAAATAAATTATTAACAACTTTTAAATACCAGTAGTGTAAGGTAAGATACACAAATTCAAAAGAGGTACCCAATCACTTCGTATTTTGATGATGTCTGAATCTTGGAAAATCTCATAGGTTTAGTGGTTATTCCCGTAAATGTAATTCTTGATCTGTATTCTTCTTTGCTTGCATGAATCAAGTACAAAAATAAAATAAAAAATGACAATTACTCACTCGCCCCTATAATATTGTGATATTCTGCAGGCTCCTGGCTTCGGTTATGATTTTGTCCAATACGAATGCTTATTCTTGACTTTTTACTTATGGTATATTACGTAGTCTTTGCATTTAAATCGATTCTGGGTTTTATTGGATATTTTCCTTTAACATAAGACATAAAACCTCTTTTGCTACTGCAACTTGAAATACTGACTGCTTTTGCCCTTTTGCCTAAAAATGTCCATCGCCATTAGACTAACAACGAACAAATAAAAAAAAACTTTATGGCATCTTCAATTTTTTTGGCGTAAAGCAGCCTGTATTTTGTGTAACTTTTGTAAATGTTAATAAAAGTTTTTGTAATTTAAATCTGAACGCAATACTGGCCATTTTTGCTAAAATAAATCCTCCATAGCCATTAGATGAAAAAGGAAGAAAAAATTAAAAATAAATATTTAATGGCATCTCCGTATTTTGTAACGAATAAATGCCAGTTTATTAAAATTTTCATATTAAACCTATTTAGAAAAAACCGTAATGTTTTTACAATTACATTTATTATTTTTTAATTGTTGTAAAAATGGCGGGATTTTTGACACTTAACTTTTATCATTTTTGATTGCAGATGATTCTGATCTCATATCGTGTGATATAATACAAAAGGATGGAACGTGGCAGCATAGGTTTCTCGCAGTAGATAATATACAAATAATTTTAGTTGAACCTGATAAACAAAGACTAGGATGGGGCGTTGCGAAACTCGTTGGAAGTTTACAGGACTTAGAAGTAAGTTGTCTTTTTATCTTTATTTTATTTAAGAGGTTATTATTTAGATATTAACATAAAAATCCTATTTACTAGCGGATGCCTTTCTAACTTATGGATGTTAGTGAAAATGAACTTCATATCGATTGCTTATTACATCAAAACGATTAACCAATTACAAGTGTACTAAGCTAACTTGATAGTTTGTACCAAGTCAACTATTAAACAATAGAAAAAATTTAATGAAATCATGCTCTTCTTGCGTTGTCCTATAAAAACTTCATGGCTGTCCGCTAGTAAAATTAGACTCAGTATAATTATTCTGTCATTTCTCCTTTTATCATAAAAAATAGATTTCCAATAAATAATCGTTACCATTCTGTTTTTCTTTGCGTTCTAGTTCAATCAGGTACCAAATCAAATTAATTTTAGTTTTTCTAGTATTTTTCGTTTGTATTTAATGTATATTGTATAATATACATATAATCAATTATATATATTATACATTTCGTTTGGTAGCACTTTTTTTCATGATACAAATACATACTTCACGTTTTTCTATTAATATGTATATTTTATGAATTTATTGCTTATCGATGTCGATTGTTCCGACACTATAACCAAATTAAGCTTCATAGAATTAATTTTTAATTTACTTTGATTTATAGTAACTATGAATCGAAGTATAATTATGTTCCAGGGCTGTAGATTTATAGCTGTGTAATAATCTTTTACTAAAATCTTCACTTAGACATCACAGAAAATATCAGAATTGAATAATCTTATAAACTACTTATATATAATAGTATCTTTTAAAGAAGTTATAAATGAATTTAAAAGTTACTCAGTTTTGATATATCAACCCTGTTACATAAACATAGTTACATATATGCTTCATTAGTTCACACAATACACCAAAAATACCTAAAACTTTAATCTTCCATCTCTTTCTATCAGATCCAAGGTGACAAGGAGGACCCCCGTTGTCTTCACCTGACGATCCACAAGCCTCGAGTGGGCGCGTCCGGCGCACTCCCGCGTACTGTACTGCTGAGGGCCAAGTTCAAGTTTGATGACCATATACGCAGTATGGCTGCTAAACAACGACTTACTAAGGTGAGTGAATGTTATTGCCACTACTTTAATGATTGTTCATGTCAACTATTATAATTTAGCAATCTTATTTATTTTGGTAATTTTATTTTAAATCAATGTAGGTCTAATGGCATAAATGTCAGAAAGGGTGTATAAATAAAACCTTCACATACCACTATCGTAAGTTTATCGCTATAGGTAGGGTTCACAGAAGTGATACTAATTTATTTTAATTATTATTTGCTAAAAATACGTTTAGCTTACATGAAAACTTAAGCTTATCTATTCAGACCATTGACTATCGAGATGGTTTTAGTGATGTAGAAATCTCATACTCTCTAGTCTTTCTCCTCAAAAGCTAAGCGCATTTTGAAGATGTTAGTCTAAAAAAGAAGTACCTTGAGATACTAATATTGTTGCTTCTAGATTACTTTAACATTAATAAAATTGTTTCTTTTTCTAGGGTCGCACGAAATCCCGACAAAAGAAGATGCAGCAGATCGGTCGATTGCTGGAGGTATCAGGCATGTGCGCGCCTTCAATGGCGCCCCGACACCGACCGTTATTTGCAAGACCAGCATTGGCTACTGTACGACGATCCACAGGTAGTTATTACAATTTTGAATAATATTTATTTGTCTCATGGATTACTCATGGATTAATCGAATTACATGACTCATGGAATTCGATTGGAACGTAAAAGGTCGGTGTTTAACATAAAATTAATTATTGTGACCATTTTATTACATTAAGGTGAAATTCATACGATCAGAAGACTATTAAGTTAAAACTTAATTCGCAACTTTTAAAATAATGATTAAAATTTAATGTATTATTATTACAAACACGCAATATCGTATTCTATACAGTAGTGTCGGTAGGAGGGGAGGACGACACAGAGCGACGCCTGCGCAGGCCCAGCGGACATATGTTGAAGGATGGCATCGTCGTCTACAGGGAGAGGACTACTAGCAGGGAGAGGTATGTTACAATGTTATTTACTTATTTAGATATGTCTATTACTTTATTAGACTAGCTGTTTATTGTAGCAATAATTAATTTTAAAATGCACTTATGTTTTTTATGAAACATCCAAAAATAACATAATCTTTGTGGTTTGATTTTAACTTGTGCTACAATGAACCAACTGTAGGTATTCATTATTATAACTCGTAATTCTAGAAATAAGACAGCAAAGAAATGTGCTCAATTTATGTAGTGACATCAAAATTATTTTCTTAATATTGTAGCAGTGTGTCGCGCAGTAGTAGTGCGCACGGGTCCCGCGAGGGGTCGCCGCGCTCGCGGTCGGAGGAGATACCACTCGAAGATATCAAAAGGAACAACGTCGTATCTAGTCTAGCTGCTACTCCCGTCGTACCGCAGGTATGTACCTACATTTTCTTTCTACCATTTTTGAAACACAGAACAATTCCATTACTTTGAACAATGAGCGTTATATTACCTACTCTTTCGAGGATTAAAAGGGCGTCATGTAATGTTAAAACAAGTTATAGGTACATAATAACACGTGTAGTGACAATGTTAAACTATTGACTTTAAAATATTAGTTTCAAAGTTTTACTGTGAAAAGTTCAACTTACTATCTGGTGCGTACATATCAAGTCTAGTCTCTCAGCTTTAAAATAAATTTCATTTTCAGTATATTAATATTATTTCTCAATTTCGTTTGCAGAGTCAACCCAGTACGTCATCGACACTTTTGAACAAAGTGAACAATTCTTCAGAAGAAACATCGTTCATATCGAGCGAGCCTTCGCGACCTAAACGCAAGGGGTTAGTGGAAACTATATGATATTAGATAGCACACAAACACTAGAAAAATACTTCGATAAATCGATTTACTTTTAACATTTTAACAATATCATACCCGAAATTAATACTCAGTACATAAAAAGTTATTTACAAAATCATTTAAGAATATATTTATTTATTTTTCATTTACTTGATCAGATGTTTCTTTTATACATTTTTAATACTAAATAAAAAACCGGAAAATTTATATACCTCTATATTTTTTAAATAGTTAATCGATAAATCAAATTTTAGGAATTGATGTTGATTTCGGGTGTTGATCAGTTATTACAAACTTCGTTTTTAGTCTCGATGTAACTGCGATGTTATGCAAAATTGTGATAAGATTCGTGTCATAGAGTATGACACCAGGACGGACAAGGGCCTTTAAATTGTATTAAGAATTTTGGTAAATGTAGTAGGGAATAGAAAACGGGAATGGGATGAATTTGTGGCTCAAAGTGTTATAGTGATGACAAACATTATTTCTGGGTCAATGATCTCCTTGATCCCTCTTCCTAACAATATTAAGTACTTTCGATTACTCAAATGCGACTTATTTTGAGTAAATATAGTGTAAGCTTTACAGTCTGTCAAATGAGTCGAAAGTCGATAGTCAAGTTGTGTTTGAGTAGTCGGAAGTTACAGTGACTCATATTCTTACTGTGTTAACCGGTGATATCATTTATACAAAATATTTTTTATTTACATATATTTTACTGCCTGTTATTTATGTTTAAATTATGACGTCTATGGAAACGGATTGAAAGCTATATATAGAAGAAATTGATAAATAAATCGACATAGTTTATTGTTTTTATTTTTTTTAATAATTGTCAAATGTGAGGAATTTCGTATGAATGTGACGTAAATTCACTACGTTTCATGGATATGTTCTAGTTGACAATAACTCAGATATGTTAGTTTAAGTATCGTCTCGTGGCGGTTTAATGGTGACCGTGTGTGAGCCTTCTATTGTGGTTGGTAAAAAAAATCCTCTCTATCGCACATTCGATGTGGAAGCTCACAACATTATGGCTTACTTCAAAGTGACGTCATGCCTACTCATATCATACTTTGAAAATATCCAAGATTTTAGATACTTCATAGAAGTATGTTAGTAGTGATCATGTATTCAGTTCTCCCGCACACACATACACACACACGTAAGTATTATTTTAGTTACCTACTAAACAATGTTATTCCTAGAACTCCTATACTTTGTTATGTTAAATTAGGTATGTTAACATAGATTAGTCTCATCGCACTTCCATTTCAATGTTAAAATCGTTACAGAAATATAATTACTATACGAAAAGTTAACATGAACATCAATTTGACGGTTAAATAAGTAGCATTTAAAAATAGATATGGTGACAAATTAAAAGAAACATTGTAAATTATAAATTATTATATTATATAGGAGATTTCAAAGTAGTTATTTTTCTAAAAATTAACGGAATGGATCTCTTATTACGTCCATTTAGATTATGGAATGAAGTTATTAGGCTGTTCTACACAATCGAGATTGAGGCCGCTTGTGTATAATTACCTAAAACTGAGTTTGCGTTGATTGACTATAAACAGATACACATAGATTATAAAATAGAAAACTAAATAATTCTCTGAGAGTCCAAATACTTCTATAAAGTAACCCTACGTATTTTTTCATCATTGTTTACTTAATTAAGCCCTCCCTATTACTATTGGCAGCGCAAACTCTAAAGTTAGATAGAAAAAAAATGTATTATTAAATATTTATGTATCGTATTTTGTATGTCTTATTTATTGTGTCATTCGGTGTTAGGCGTCTCAAATGTTAATTCGGCGGTTGTATTTGTACGTAAAATAAGTTATATAAGCTTGCTTTTTGTGTTGTTTTACGTAAAGCAAAGATTTTTTTATTATTGGTATGTGTTTATTATGACTAAAAGTGTGCTCTAACGGTGAAATATCTCCATTAAAGTCCAATACTGGAAATTATTAATATTTCGGTTAAAATATCATTCCTTACATGTGCTAATAAATGTAACAAATATGAAATAACAGGTTAAGTATGACTACGACACAGATCTAACTAGAATATTCTATGGATATTTAAACCTTAAGAAATTTATGTTGTGATTTTTTTATTATTTTAAGAATTGCAATAACTATTGATGTAAATAAATGTATTTTTGTGTTCTTAAATGAAAATATTGTAGTGTTGAAAGGAAATATATCACATGTTACATTTAAATTGTGTTTTACTGTTTGCCACTAATCATACTATATTTTATTTAAAAATAATGACGGGTAAATCGGAAAATTAGAGTTATCAGGGGTAAGTTATAAAATGAAACATCAGCGTCAACTATATTTTTGTTCTAATTTATTTGATTAATCGTCTGCTCTATACACATGATATGCACCAATGCCTATAAATAATATAAACGATGATGAACAATACCGGTAATGACATAAAATATTTACATTAACGTAACAAAACATATAACATACGATTGCTCTTTATTATTATATAAAACTCTATAATAAAAAATTACTTTAAGGTAACCCTTGAGCTATGTTATTAATTTTATTTCATTATCCTCTGGAACTAAATGTTAACATTCATTTTTGTCCAACACGTCTTTACATCCTTCATTTAACAATAACATTTAAATCACAGTTCTATCCTTTAAGTTTGCACCTCAATTACATTCCTAAAATATAGGAAGATGGAGAATCCGCACACAGGTTGGAAAATTGAAAATAGTATCAGATAGGATAGTCTTGTCTTATTTATATTGTTCACATAGAAGTTACATTACATCTGTCAGTTGTGAAACTAATTTTTATCAAAAGATTAAAGACTAGCGTTTAAACCATTAAGTTAAGAAGTAGTTCTTTCATATTTTTAAAATAAAGAAAGAGCATAAATATTTCCACAATAAATCACATTTTAAGAATTATTTCGATAGAGAAAGGAACACTTTATTACATTAAAATATTATTATTTACTTTTTATAACAGATTTTAACTAAGTCATAGCATCACGATTTGGTCGTCGCAACATAATGACAACATAGCTATGTAGAAGCGAGAGCAACTCATACACATAGGTACACAGAATAAAAATATCACACATTAGGCTGATAAAAAGTTTTCATTCAACAATTCTACCTTATTTAAAGATTTTATTACACACACAGAAAGTCTATGGCAGGGAATATTTCACATTTTTTATTTTTATTTAATATTACGACATCATCCAAGTTTACAAGTAACACGAGTTTAAAAAAAACAGAAACACTACATGAATAATTAAAAAAATATGAACGAATTAATTAAACGTAATATTTTAAGAAGACAGCCGATTATAATTCATAAATCAAAAACAAACCAGTACACTGACATGACAATAACGGCTTGAATAAAACATGCCATAGTAGGATAAATGCGCTCTTTCACAAATGACTCATTTTTCTATTTCTTCATATAGCAAGTACACCGTATTTACATAAATGTATCCACAAGGGATCAACTGGAGGTTCCACAGACCGCGAGTTGATCACACTCCGCAAGTGATGCGAGGAATGTTACACTTACTTGAAAGTAATAGCTTATAATTATAATAAATTACTAAATGTTGAACACTGCGCTTAAATACAATCTATGAAAACATGCAGAGTGCCATCAACACACAGTTGCTATTAGGCCCTGGAATTTGATACTTATAGCTCATTAGGTAAACGAATCTAGGTTCGACGTTTGCCGTTGCACTTATTAGGAAATACGAAAAAAGCATCTGTAATGCAAGCTTTAATGGAAGCACGTATATACTAAAATATTAAAATATATAAACCGTTTGAAAACACTAGCTCTTCGTAACCTGGATATTTCAGAGTTTCTATTTAAGACATTTCAATTTCTGCAGTTGGCGCAAATAATTAATTCAGGTATCTTAGGTAGGTATAGTTACAAATTGTAAAGGAACAAAATGTTTATTGGTGTATAGCATTAATCCAATAATGGAAACAGACCGATGTTCGATATTCCAATTGCTTATTTACACAATGTAATTTGGAGAAACAGAATGATTTTCTTAATTTTAAACATTGGTGTCTTCAGTACGAACTGTGAAGTGAAAGTTTCATTATGTCAATATTACAGTTTTTCTATAAAACGATCTATATAATTTTATATACGTAAATAAGCAGACGAATTTTCCTTCGTAAAATAGAAGTGATGTAGTTTCTAACAAGTAAATGAAAACTCGTCTGCTGGTAGACAAAAATAAATGAACCCTGTCACCAGTTTTATGTGCGCTTAGATCGTAATAATCAAAAGTGAAGCGAAAATATTGTTACATACCAGGTGATGTTCAAATCAAAATGTACACACGACAAAACTAATCGACTACGAAGTATGAAGAATGCGAGGAGTGACAATGTTCAATGGATCATCTATTTCGTTAATGTACACAACACTTTGTTATACAAGCCAGTTAGTCTAAACGAAGCTCATATTTTTCTTAACACCTATGTACGTCTATTATGTTTCTGATGTCGAAATTATTTTATACGAAATTTAATTTAGGCAACGTGAATTTTTAGTTACCATAATGTCTATCATGGCGTTCATGCTCACCTAGTCGCCATCGCAGTAAGTCGGACATTAGTTAGTTGTCATAACAAACAATAAAACGAGAAAATCGTACAAACAGATACAATTTTAGATATTTAATTTGTATTATATTGCTCTCCAGAATTTAGAAGCTTACCAACGGTTACGATGACTTTATAATTAAATGGAGTATTCTATGCATTAGTAGTAGTACATGTAGTGCTCGATACAGATAGCAAGTAAAACAGAGCGAATCTTAACCCGAAAATAATACGTAAGTAATTGACCCTCCTTAGATTTAAACAATTCAAAGTAACTACTTTAATTTGATTACAAATATATAATTGACAAAAACTAATCAAAAACTTTTACAATAATTTTCTGTTTCGTCTACAGAAACGTAATTTTCAAAATATGTTTTTATGACACGTCGTTCAGTGTCTTCCACAATACTCTAGCTAAAATCTGCAGATATACATTTTAATATTTCACTACTAATGGTGCAAATATTTCTAAAATATATTATATATTTATAAACAGTAATCACTATATTGTGCCATATACAATGCACGCGTAACACACATGTATGTATTATTTAATTTACCGTAGTTACTTACACATAAAAACATTACTGTTACACAGTATCACTTGCTATACACCAACCTTTATGTAATTAGCTAACTATTATATTATATCCTTTGGTGTATATACGTAGTTCACACGCCAAGTTAGTTTATCGTACAAAATGAAGCGCTCGACCAAGCTGCAAAGTAACGTTCCTTCTCTGTGTGCCACGTGGCACGTGGACAGTCGGACACAGTGTCGGGTGTCGGCACTCGGCGCTTGAACTACTCACGATTTGTTGGACATAATCAAAATAAAATCAACGCACATACGCCATAACATTTTATACATCAGTTAACAATCATTATTGTCAGTTATAAATCTATTTTTATGAATTTTATATTTAAGTATAAATTCGCGTCTAGTAGTAAGTAGGCAGTTTTAAAACAATTGTTTATAATTACATTTACTATTTAGCTCCCGACTGCTACGAGGTGTGGTCTTGTATCTCTACTAATAATTTATTCTACTGTCTATCATGAACGTCTAAAATATCTTTGGATGGACTGTCACGTATTGTTCTCATTCTACATTGGACGCTCTACCAAACTTCATTCGTATATTATATACCAGACTCATTGGTCTCTGCTGGACCATTGTCCATTCTAGGAACATACATACTTAAAGATGTAAATCATTTTAATGTTTATTTTTTTAGTTTGTAAGACAAAGTAATCGTTGACCGTGGCACTGGCCGATATAAATAAAATTCTGTTAAAATAATTTTAACTGTGTTGTGTAAATATAAAGTTGGCTATAATGTAAATATTATATCATTACAATTATATAAAAGTTTGGTCGTCAATACCACACCTCGTCGTGCAGCACGGCGTCTACTAGTCGGCTGAGATGGAGGGATCTAGCACATTCAGTAATTAGCTACACAGTTAGAGTTAACGCTTACACTTACATGATACGAGTACTACGGTAAAATAGTTAAGGTGTTGCCAGATCGGTGATCGAACGTCACGTTTTGTGGCATAATCATGCAAGTCACTTACGTCTGGTCTGGCAGACCCTTTTTCACTCGTTGCTCAATAAACATGCAGTCGAAGCATTCTGCCACAGAAACTGAACATATCTATAGTCATGGAGTGTAACAAGATACAAGCAACTATTCCTATACGACATAGGAAGTACGATATACGATATAGGTCTGTGAGATTTGGATTTTTTTATGTATTAATATATTTCTTATTTATCTCCACACATAAAATATAAAGGACAACTCATGTATAAATTTAAAGTACAAAGGTAACTACAACTCCTATTGGAATTTCTTCCTGTGGACCTGTGGCACGAAAAGTAATTATGATATACGGCACAGTGTAGAATAACATAACATAACGTCACGCCTTTTTATCCCCGAAGGGGTAGGCAGAGGTGCACATTATACCACTGTACAATGTAACACCCACTTTTCACTATTTATGTTATGAGTCCCATGTAATAGGGGGTGAATATACATATAACAGTGTAGAATATGTGTAGAATGATGTACAACAAACCAATGTAGAACAGTGTAGAATATACATATAAATAAAGAAATCTGCATATTTAGAGGAAAGGTAGTATTCTCTCATTTGTCTGTTAAATAATAGCGATTGATTCAGCGTTCCGAATGTTAGGCGGGAGCGAATTCCACAGTCTCACTGCATGAACCGAGTAGGAGTAGAAATCGGCATTATAGAGCACAACTAAGATTATAAATCAGACTTAGCGAATATAACTGTTCTGAGTGAAATGTTCTTCATAAATTTAAAGAGATTTGTATGTATTTTGTTACACGACACACTGTTATGTAGGCGTTCCAACAACAGTCAAGTTAGTTCTAGCAAATTATACTTACAGTTAGTTACGAGTATCGATAGGAGTTTGCGAGAATATTATCCAAACGTGCAAATAAATCAACGACCTCGTAGCTTATCGAATAGAAAATTCACTTAAAAACTTTTAAAACTGTCAAGAGTCTCTCGCTATCACATAACCGATATTCGTAGCGGTTCGCATCGATATAGTCACATCGTCCGAAGAGTATCTTGGTAAAAAAGGGAGTATTGCGAAAACCATTATTGCTTGAGGGTTAGGAGCGTAGCTGTGCAGGACTAAGCACGAGTTCGCCGTCTGGTCCACCGGCAAAGGAGACGTTGCGCGGGGGCGGGCGGCGAGCTGGTGCTCCGGCCAGCGCGCTCGGCAGCGGCGGCGCCTGCGCCCCCGGGCTGGGCGACGCGGGCACGCTGTGCGCCGCCGCGCCCCGCGCGGGGCCCGGCACCGGGCTGTGCCCCGACCCGCTCCGCTGCAGGCCGCTGTGGTGTGACCCATGCGACCCGCTCTGCTGCAACCCATTTGGTGAGCTTGCCCCCTGGTGCGACGTGACCTGAGAACACATTTGAAATAAACAATATTTTTCCAGTCCACAGACTTCATGACTCAAATTATTACAGAATATGAAATCGAAACCCGATCAGCATTTCATCTAAATGAACCAAATAAACAGACTTTTGGACAGACGTCATGCTTTTGTATTTACAATAGTAAATAAGTAATCATACGTGAATGACCTGATGTAGTGGGGGTGGATGCAGCGAGGCGGTGCGGTATCGGCGCAGGCGCTCGTCCTCCTCGCCGCTGGACAGCGAGGACACGTCGCAGGACGAGGCGTCGAGGCGGCGCGCGGGCGAGCACTGTGCGGGCCCGGCGCGTGCGCCGCCCGACCCGCCGCCCGCGCCGCCCCCTGCACTTCCCGCCAAAGGCATCTCCTCGCCTTCCCCGCACCCAGACAGTCTGAAAACATAATCATAGCTGGCACCAACTAATAGATAGGTAACTTCTGAACAAGAATTACCCATCGATTTTGGCACCTATCAGCCTACCTATTGTCTTATATAAAAGTTCTTAATTAATATAATGAGAACAGCATAAGATGAGGGTACCTTCTGTTCTCCTTGTAGATGGTTCGCCGTCGACAGCAAGGCTTCGCAAATATGCAGAAGAGAATACGCAGCAGACAGCAGGCCAGACCTGCAACAATGAGCGACGGACCCACCAGGCGTAGAGCTGGAGTCTTGAAACCCTGAAACATTTACAACAACCTTCATGACATACATGCATTGCTTCTGAAAATTATATGGATCGGCAAGAACTATCTTAAACTAGCTAGTCAATGTCATTATAAGAAAACATCTATATTATCAATTATATCTTTAATCCACTAATAAGAAAACGTTACGTTTCACAAGCGAGATAACATAATATTTTCTATGAGGCATAGCGGAACTTTTTGAGATCAGTAAAATCAAATTAATAAGAAATGAAATGATCCCGTTCATTACATTGAAACCAATACGTAGCAGTTACTTTATACATATTAGAGTAGGTATTAAGGAAAGAGCACTAAATAACTCTACTTCTACCACTACCGAGACTCACAATTTTCTTGAGTGTCATAAATATGAGACTTTTCGCAGTGTGTAGTGGAAATGGACATAAAAGGACAAACCTACGACCGGCTACGTCGTAGCTCGTAGCAGCTACGAGCTACTACGAGTGCCTGTCGACGTTCATTGTCACTCGCTACATAAAGGACAACTTGTGCTCTTTTTAAAAACTTTAATGCACCGCCTAGTAGTAAAAGAAAAATTTATGATCATATCTCGTGTAAGTTTTAACTTAGAACAATATAAAATGTTTTTAAGTGACCATTTGTCAAGTTTTAAGCTACTTATATTATCTGACTAGCAAAAATTGTTTAACATTTTACCAATCCCGTCAGGTTAAGGTAAAGCATCATAAATATTGTTATTCAACTGTCTACAACGTAGTTTATGATAATTCTCTAACGATAATTTCAATTTATTTGTCAGTATCTACTACTACATGCGAGGCAAAGTTATGTTAAAAGATAAAATGCTTAGCTCAAATACTAAGGGTTAAATATTGAGTAAATTGAAGTTAGCACTTCTTAACCGTATAATCACGGTGTTAGAGATGTACCTTGTCGCCGGTGCCGACGAAGTAGACGACGAGGCCGAGTGCGAGCGTGCCGAGCCCGGCGTAGAGCAGCCGCGCGACGCCCCACGTGTCGCCGGCCGCGCCGTCCGCCTCGCCGTCCGACTCCGACGACGAACCGTACGAAGCGTCTCGCACCTGCAAACAGTACACCACACTATTACACGAAGCCACTATTAGCAAAGCTCCATGTAAACAACAACATCAAAATTTATGACTGAACAACAACTCCTTATAATTACACATATTTACAGAATTATTTACACAATTTACATGTTAGAAAGTTAAACAATTCGTACGATTATTTATTTGCTTGCGACACTTTTCATAAAAATCGGCATAGCTGCTTAGGCGTATTTTGCAGCCCATAGTTCGTAGATATGATAAATTAAACTTCGTCATTCTGGCGCTACTTAGCTGATTACCGATTCACAGTGTTTAATTATAGCCTCTAGCTTAACTTACAATAATGATGTCTAACGATGGCTAAGCTCGACAGACTAACCAATAACGCAGAACATATTTCAATGCACAGGTCGTGCACTACACGTGTCTGCCTACTCTCATGATTCAATGGCAATAGAACGCTATTAATTGTCCCGAAAATACTTTACAGATGTTACTATTGTCTTCTGGATAGGTTCCTCAAAATTAACTTGATTTTTGGCTGGAAATGCTGTAAATAAGACAATGTTATATTAATGTACCCGGTTGTTCCTGTGCCATTTGCCGGTCTGGCCCTTCCTTGCCCCGGGGTGGTCGCCGAGCACGGAGCAGCGCCGCGCCGCGCCGCCTGCGCCCGCGCACCCGCCGCCCACTGACAGCGCCGCCGCCTCCGCCCAGGCCGCGCGCCCGGCCGCGCACTGCACCACAACACACCGACTTATGAAACTTACTGAGATAATACCAAGTAATTTGTTGTCGACCGATGACCTTTATACGATTTTGATTAACTTATTTCATTGTCTGGAAACTATTAAATTAGACAGGCAGATTTGGTCAACTCAAGACTTACTGTTAACGAGTAACCTATGACTTCCACTTAAAGTAATTTTTGCTATCAGAAATGATAATTTTAAATTCAATTCCTATGTTAACATTTAAGTAGAAAATGCTGGCTCGACTCGACTAAGATGTAGTAGTGACATATAGAGATAATTTATGTTGTAACTATTTAAATAATGTAAGTAGTTTTTATGTTTTAGTCCATTTATGTTCGTCAGTGCGAAGTGCAGGTGGGATATTTTATTTGCAACAATTTAAAATTTACCCGAAACTGTAGTCTGGTTCCTTATTATCATTAAATATTATCCATCTAAAATGTAAAAGCCGTGAAACAGATTGTGTCATTGTGTGAAATTGTATTATTTGTAGGTTTCACAAAGCCATTTCCTCGGTTATGGCCGGTCTCAAGTGCACAACGCCAATGGTTTAATTGAGCGTTTCGTTCCTCAGCTTCAGACAATTTCTGTTCTGTTTAAAGCAGATTGCAATTTCTATGGAATTTAAAGCAATATCCCGTTGAAAGACATAGTTTCAAATTGAAATTCGTATATTTGTAACTTTGCAAATCTGAATTCGTTGTTATCACGAGAAACGTAAATAAAATATTATTTGTCGTAAATGGAAATAGGTGCACATTTTTGTCGTGAAAAGCCTTGTTTATTTACTTCTCCATAGCTTTATATTGGACAAACCTCCGCATATTGTCTTGTAAAACGAAAGCATAATTACATCCGATACTGAAACCAATAAATACATTAGAAGGCAACCTTCCTTCAGTAAAAATTGTTGATACAAGTCACGATTTCGATAAACGGAAAATGAGGACATATAGGTAATAGCCAGTGGATTTGAGAGCATATTACACGGCGTATTGGACCGCCAGCGATATTTCATGTCGTGCGCACAAGGAAACACTGACTGCAATAAAAATCCTCTAAAAGTGGCCGTAAACAAGTCCAAGAAACAGCGAAAGGAAGACTGTCGATATATCAAACAAGTTGTACGGATGTCCCCCGCGTCTTATTGTTCGCGGGATTTTGATTTACGGAAGTGGTATTCTTTTTGACCTACTATTCGATATATTATTCTTACAGACATTAAAACTCCTGTATCAGTGTCTTTTATTTAGTAATAATTATAAATTAATACATAAATGATGGAATACTTAGTATTTAACTACACTTCATTGTTATCGGTAGGTAAACTTTTCACATCTTACAATCAAAACGTTTCTTAACGCAGAACATCTCAAAAGTGACATCGATACGGAAATGTTCACGAATGTAGTCGTGGACAAATAAGTTGTTTTATATAAGCGTACAGTAAGCCTGCAGGGTACATCATAAGTATGCAAATCGTTCGTTTCTGGGTCAATAGACGACGTAAATAGTGAAATGATTGCGTCTAATAGTCTGCTTTAGCGAGCCTACTAAAGTATATAGCGCGTGGGCGGACGATGTTTCCACGAGCCGTCATTTTTCAAACACGCCAATATGCGGTAATAAATTGTATAGAATCTTTTATACGTAACCCGTTGTTTTTTACGTAGAATAAATTGACCTATTAGATGTAGGTTCCAGTTTCAGTACAGACAGCTATAGGTAGCTATGTGTACTTTCTTAGATTATTTAGACACCACTGACAAACGATGACGAAAAACATCTTGAAGAAACCTGGACGTATAATTTCTAATTACCTCTATAAGTTTAAAGTCGCCAACCCGCAATGAGCAACCATGCTGATTAATGCTTTGCTTAGCAGTGGGCACTTATAAGCTGTTGATGTATGCTGTGTATATATAGGTAGGTATCTATGCTTTTATTGGAATGAAACAAGGATTTTAGTGCATAGTCTTGTTCAGAGTTCGAACCCGCTGGCAATTTCTTTGCCCAGCAAGTTCAAGAAACACAGTCATGTGGTTTAATTGAGATTTTTATTCGTAGCAACATCGAAGCCTACATTATGTTAATTTGAAGTCCTTTGTACAAATTATTACAACTTGATTTATGTGGACAAAAATGTTATTACACGGTGGGCGCGGCTCACGCTACCCTGTCATGCGAATGTGGCTTAAATGTTTTAAAATTATACTTGGCTTCATAATATACGCCGGTTAACTTCGCAGAAACTAGGGTGCTTATTATCTTTTAGAAACACACAATTTATATGCAATGATTCTGTCGTCACGTTATGTTTCAGTCATTCATTTTAATTCCAAGGAACAATAATACTGCAGAATTCGCTCAAATAAGCCTTAATATTGTTTTTAGAATTTATAAGTAACATACGTTTGTCTCATTATGTATGTTTACTACAACCAATAGTCCTCCGTTCTCTTCAAAGTTCATGCTCTTCCTACGCAGAAATAAATACCTAGTGCAAACATAGGAAAAGTAATCAATTTACCTTATCTACAGATAAATAAAAATTGGATTGTATATTGAAATAACTGCTTATTACTATATGCATATAAAAAGATATACGATACATGTACCAAAATAACACATTTACAATTTTTGTCTGTCTACCTGTCTGTTTATTCTAGCTAATCTCTGAAATGGCTTTACCGATTTTTATGGGAATTTTATTGGCAGGTAGCTGATGTGATATGAAGGCGTAACATAGACTTTATTTTAGAAAAAACGCAGACAAAGTTGCGGTTATAGCTAGGCTATAAACTAATTATATTTTCATAAAGGTTATTCCACCAAAGAACAACGTTACTATAAAAAGTCACACACAGAAGAATGTTTAATCTGTACGGTCATAAAAATGCTCTGTGACATAGCTACAACGTGAATTTTTTGGAGTAATTAAGAAGGGAAATGTTTAATATACCCAGGTATTTGGGTCACATACATAATATATAATGTATATGTATGCCTCTGTGAAGTGTGTGTATTTTGTAACATTACCTTTTTCCTTGGCTATCCGTTATATGCACGTTTGACACGTGACTATTATGATATAAGTGGTGATAGGTAGTGCTAACTACTTCTTTTGGCAAATAGCGAGTACAATTGTGGATCAAGAAAATATGCCACATGTATAACCACCAACCCGCATTGAGCAATCATGGTGATTAATGCTCAAACCTTCTCCGTGTGGGAAGAGGCTTTGGTCAGCAGTGGGCATTTATAGGCTGTTGATGACGCCATATGTAACTATTACCTGGACATTTCGTAGTTGAAAATGTTATCTACTATTTGGTAAAGGTTTTTAATAATCATTTCATTAAAATGGATTATTATTATCGCTTCTAACCGGCCTATCTGGAAATCATTGGGGAGGCCTATGGTCAGCAGTGGACGTCCTATGGCTAATATGATGATGATATCTTTAAAATTATTTCTCTTCGTGTCGATCGTTTTATCAACAGTAGTTTCTAGTTAGTTTGTTCTAAACCCAAAGTTTGAAACTATGAAAACTATCCTTCACCATTATTTACTTTTGTACTGAGTTGACCAAACTGGTTTAAAAAGCTTTCTGGTTCTCATTTATATCAATAGTCAATTGTATCGATTACATAGGTAATAAGTATTCATCTTCAATCACGACATGTTTTGGTTACAGCTCACATATATGTATGTATATTGTTTTGTACTCGTGTGTAGGTATATATATTATAATTATGTTTATTTATGTTTATCTCTGAAATATGTAAGTGTATCTTTTTAAATTGCTCAATTAAATTATTGCTTGTTTCTTGCTCACACCATTAATTCTTCTCTGCATCACCCAAAGGTCAGACTGGGAGAAAATGCCTGCGGCATTAAGTCCACCTTATGAACACATTGTGCATGAAGCTTAAATAAATAAATAAATAAATATATCTTCCATTTAAGACGCCATGTAAATATTTTTAATTTGCTACAAACTGGCCCCACTGGTACAACATTTTTAAACGAGCGGAAAGTGGTTCGTTTCACTTAAAGCTCGCGTCGTGCATCCACAGTCAGATCGATTGTTATACTTTGTTTTATAACTTGTTTTGCAATTGTTCCCACAAGGTTCGTTCGTTTCCAGTTATCGTTGGTATTATTATATAACAAAAACTGTTTGAAGTTCTTTTTTTGCTTAAAACCTCGGTTTCTGTTATGTAGGTCAGTAAAACTGTTTGACAGACACAAATATTTCTCTTTCTGCTTCAATACACAAGTCCATAGTGGCTACCTATAGATGATAACATTTATCTTCTGTGTCGTTGGTGTATTTATACATATAAATCGACAATAATTTGTATACGCATAAGTAATAATTTATTGATCATAGAAGTGACCGTGTCTACATTTTATACTATTCCATGTTTCTTATTATTTACGACTTATTTTTGATGACTTCATAATTGTTAACTGAATATTATGACAGTATAATATATTTAAGCCTTTAACTGCCGATAAAAACTGTTAAAGGCTAATCCTCGGCTAGCGTCGGACATCATTGCCCGACACGGCAGCCAATGTGTTAACCCGTGGACGGTAGACCTACACTAGAGACAATATATTTTCTATTGTGTTTTATTGGCAGTCAAGAGGTTAATCCTTTAGTTACGTTACTCCTTACAAAGTAACCTCTCTAGCACTGACAGAATTATTCCAATTTGTTCATAAGTTTTAATGCCTATTCAACACAAATAACAATACTATTTTCTTCATACTAATAGCATAGAAAAATCGTACCTAATGACAATAACAGAACACTAACATCATTTTATAAGGCAATATTAAACAGAACAATTTAAAATGAATTGAACATGGTTGTTATGAAACGTAATTGTAGTTGTGGGCCTTGTCTCAGGCCGTCGACGTTTAATTTATCACTGCGAAGCCACAGACGATTGCATCAAGTAATACATTAA